TGGCCTACTGTTGGCTCCGGGCACTCACGATGTGGCCTGGGAGTGGTGTTCTGGCAAGATGCATCGTGATTCCAGACAAGAGTTTCACACTTTCCAACGTTCTGATTTTTTGCGTCCTAGCCTGGCTAGGACGAGACGAACATGAAAGCCACGAAGTGCGATAGGGTTGCAACTTTCCAACGTTATGAATGCCTTTTTGGAGCTCTGGTGCAGGACATCCCCACAAAAACGACGCCGTTCGTAACGTTGAAATTTCTTGAATAAAGAATATTCGAATATTCTTATTCAAGCGTTTCCAACGTTACGAACGGCGTCGTTTTTGTGGGGAAGTCCTGCACCAGAGCTCCAAAAAGGCATTCGTAACGTTGGAAAGTTGCAACCCTATCGCACTTCGTGGCTTTCATGTTCGTTTCGTCCTAGCCAGGCTAGGACACAACAAATCATAACGTTGGAAAGTGTGAAACTCTTGCCCGGAATCACGATGCATCTTGCCAGAACACCACTCCCAGGCCACATCGTGAGTGCCCGGAGCCAACAGTAGGCCACTTTGTGCTCTTCGCGTTCCCAGAACACCACTCCCAGGCCACATCTTGGGTGCCCGGAGCCAACTCTAGGCCATTTTGTGCTTTGCTTTGCGTTGCTTTGCATTGCTGAGACCCCTGAGACCTGCGACACCTGTCGGTCCTGTGGGACCTGCGAGACCTGCGAAACTGGTGGGACCTGTGGGACCTACGGCACCCGAGGAGCTTGCAACACCTGTGGGACCTGGGGGACCCCTGTGGCCTGTGGGACCCGTGGGACCTGCAAAACCTGTGGGACCGGTGGGACCCGCAACACATGTGGGACCTGCGGAACCACTGGGGCTTGTCGGACCTGCGACACCCGTGGGACCTGGGGGTCGTCTGTGGTCCGTGGAACCCTGTGGGACGCCTGAGAGCCAGCCGAAGCAACGCGTGAATGCGGCAGGCATTTGAAGGTGGCAGAAGCGAAAAGTGTAGGGAAATGTACGAGTTCAGCGTAGTCTTGGGGCCCGTAACAGCGTAGTCTTGGGGCCCGTAACAAAATGGCAGCCGTGGATGTAAAAAATTAGCGCGAAACCCATCCGTAACATTGAATTCCGCCATTCAAAGATATGGAACGCAAGCTAGGCATGAACGGCCCAAGGTTGAAAAAAGTGTTTCCGTGTTTCGCGTTTATTGTTTATATTTTCGCGGGCAGCTGCCGATCTTGCCCTACCTGGAACTCGCGGCCTTTGAATGGCGAAATCCAATGTTATGAATAAATTTCGCGTTTATTGTTTACATCCACGGTACTACTACTACTACTACTACTACTACTACTACTACTACTATTACTTACTACTACTACTACTACTACTACTACTACTACTACTACTACTACTACTACTACTACGACCTCTACTACTACTACTACTCCTACTACTACTCCTAGTATTACTACTACTAGTACTACCACTTACCAGTACTACCACCACCACTACCACCACCAGTACTACTACTACTACTACTACTACTACTACTACTACTACTACTAGTACTACCACTTCTACTACTACCACTACTACTACTACTATTACTACTACTACTACTACTACCACTACTACTACTACTACTACTACTACTACTACTACTATTACCGTTACTACTACTACCAATAACAATAATATTGCAAATTCTACTACTACTACTACTACTACTACTACTACGACTGCTACTACTACTACTACTACTACTACTACGACTACGACCACTACTACCAGTACTACGACCCGTACGACTACTACTGCTACTACTACCACTACTACTACTACTACTACTACTACTACTGCTACTACTACTACTACTACCACGATTACGGCTACGACACCGACTACGACTACTACTACTACTGCTACTACTGCGACAACAACTACTACTACTACTACTACTACTACTACGACTACTATTACTACTACTACTACTACCATCGTTACGACTCAGACTACTACAAGCACGCCTACGAGTACGATTATTTCTACTGCGGCTACTACCACCACTACTACTACTACTACTACTACTGCTACTACTACTACTACTAATACTACTACTACTACTACTACTACTACTACTACTACTGCTTCTACTACTACTACTACTACTACCACTACTACTACCACTGTTGCTGCTAGTACTATTACTAATTATTTTACTACTACTACGAATATTAGTACTACCAGTACCGCTACTACTACTACTACTACTACTACTACTACTATTACGACTGCGACGACGACTACTACTACTGCTACTACTACCTACTACTACTACTACTACTACTACCACTACTACTAGTACTACTACGACTACTACTACTACTACTACTACTACTACTACTGCGACTACTATTACTATTAGAAGTACTACTATCACTACGACGAGTACGGCTACGATTACTACTACTACTACTACTACTGCTACTACTACTGCTACTACTACTATTACTACCTCTACGACTACTACTACTACCACTACCATTACTACTACTACTACGTTTACTACTTTTACTACTACTACTACTACTACTACTACTACGACTACTACTACGACTACGACTATGACTACGACACCGTCTACGACTACTACTACTAGTGCTACTACTACTACTGCCACTACGGCTACCACTGCTACCATTATTACGATTCAGACTATTACAACTACGACTACGACTACGACTACTTCTACTACGACTACTACGACCACAACAACTACTACTACTACTACTACTACTACTACTGCTACTACTACTACTTCTTCTACTACTACTACTACTATTTGTCTTACTGCTACTACCACCACTACTTCCACTATTACGACTACTACTACTACTACTGCTGCTACTACAGTTGTTACTTATTTCATTTTTCACTACTACTACGACTATTACTACTACCGCTACTGCTACTACGACCGCTACTACTACTACTACTACTACTACGACTACTACTACTACTACTTTTACTACTACTACTACTACTACTACTACTACTACTACTACTATTACGACCACTACTACTACGACTACTACGACTACTACGACTACTACGACTACGATTGCGACTCCTACTGCTACCACCACTACTACTACTACTACTACTACTACTACTACTAGTTTACTACTAGTACTTCTACTACTACTACTACTACTACTACTACTACTACTACTACTACTACTACTACTACTACTACTACTACTACTACTATTAGTACTACTACTACTACTACTACCACTACTACTACTACTACTACTACTACTACTACTACTACTACTACTACTACTACTACTACTACTACTACTACTACTACTACTACTACTACGACTACGACTACGACTACGACTACGACTACTACTACGACTACTACTACGACTACGACTACTACTACTACTACTACTACTACTACTACTACTACTACTACTACTACTACTACTACTACTACTACTACTACTACTACTACTACTACGACTACTACGACTACTACGACTACTACGACTACTACTACTAGTACCAGGAAGATCCATTTGCATATTTTAGAATCGATGTTTACGCTTCGGTGCCCTCTTGCTCATCTTAACGTAGTGCTCGTGTGCAAACCAAAACTGAGACCAATTCCAACTCGAGCATGCATGTTGGCTTCCAGATCCTGTGCGTTGACATAAGGAATGTCACTTGGTCTTCGCACTCGTCTTGGGCTTCTCTACAATTAAAATCCTATTGTGGGCCTATCCCAAGATGGTTGGGATTGGGCCCAGTTTGCTTTTCGCACTGGTTGGGATTGGTCTCAGTTGGTTGGGATTGGGCCCAGTGGGTTGGGATTGGGCCCACATGCGGTTCGAACCCCCCCCCCTTTCAGCGCCAAGGGGGGTGGGGGGTCTGGACCCCCCCCCCTTCAAGGGAGGAGAAGGGGGGAAGGGGGTCCGAACCCCCCCCCCCTTAAAGGGGGGAAGGGGAGGGGATTCCGGACCCCCCCGCCCCCGCCCCCCCTTGAAGGGGGGGAAGGGGGAGGGGGTTCTGGACCCCCCCCCCTTTAGTGTATTCAGGGAGATCCACTGGCGCACTTCCAAATCGGGGGCAGGGGGAAGCCCTTGTCTCCGGGCTGGCGGTGGACACCCATCCTCAGCCGAATCGAACGCAGGGGGGAACCCTTGCGTCCGGGCCGGGGATGGTAACCCATCCTCGGCCGAATCGGGCTCGCCGCAAAGCTTCGCTTCGTGTTGCCTCCCGCCTGAACGCGGCCGTGACTAGCTCAGTGCCTGCGGTTGCCCCAACGGCCTGGCCCGCGGGGTTGTCCCAACGGCCGCGCGACGCGGCCATTCGAGAATGCGCCCGCGCTGACCGAGGCGGCGCGGCGACGGCGTCGAGGAAAATCGACGCGCGCGCTCTTGCAATAGACAGGAAAGGAGGTGGAGGGTAACGAAACAAGCAGCAGGAGTGCGAGGCAAGGGCAACGCGGGCGCGGGGAGCGGGTGAGGGCCCTGCGCCAGGGCGATAATGATAGTGGCGCAGAGAAGACAACAAGGGCGTCTCACTCATCGCGAGGACGACAGTGAAGGCTATTTCAAGATTGGGCAAAAGGATTTTCATGTGGGGCCTTTCCGTCGGAGTATTTTGTGTTCTGTCAATTTTGAAAACTCCTCCTGTAAAGGGACAGGCCCGACTTAACATCACGGGCTTCCCCCCTGCTCAGCGGCGAGGCCCCCGAAGAACACGCGGTGGACAAACCTCCTTTTGGTAAACTTCCCTTTGGTGAAAACGGCCTGGAACCGAAGCCGATGGACCTGGACCCGCAAAAATGACGGCCGCGACGCCCTCCCGCGAAGCGAAAACGGCCAAGTCGCTAGTCGACGTTTCAGGGTATGAAGTCTATCAACTTCCGAAACAACCCCCCACGTCCTCGAACCCCCGCCACGGCACCCCGTGGCTGGCAGGGCGGGGCCCGGGCGTCCTCCGGAAGACGCCAGCGTGACCAGGCCCTCCTGCGGGCCCCGGGCAGGTATCGAGAAGAGTCGATGATGATGATGATGGTGATGATGATGATGATGATGATGATGATGATGATGCTGATGATGATGATGATGATGATGATGATGACGAGGAAGAGGAGGAGGAGGAGGAGGAGGAGGAGGAGGAGGATGAGGAAAAGGCGGAGGAGGAGGAGGGGGGGGGAAGGAGTAGGAGGAGAACAAAAGGAGAAGGAGGAGGAGGACGAGGAGGAGGAGGAAGGAGGAGGAGGAGGAGAGGCGGAGGAGGAGGAGGAGGGGGAGGGGGAGGAGGAGAGGAGGGGAGGAGGAGGAGAAAAAGGAGGAGGAGGAGGAGGAGGAGGAGAGGGAGGAGGAGGAGGAGGACGGGGCAGGAGGCGGGGAAGGAGGAGGAGGAGGAGGAGGAGGAGGAGGAGGAGGAGGAGGAGGAGGCGGAGGAGGAGGCGGAGGAGGAGGGGGGAGGAGGAGGAGGAGAGGAGGAGGAGGAGGAGAGGAGGAGGAGGAGGAGAGGAGGATGGAGGAGGGAGGGGGGGGGAAGGAGTAGGAGGAGAACAAAAGGAGAAGGAGGAGGAGGAGGAAGAGGAGGAGGAGAGGGTGAGGGAGGAGGACAAGGAGGAAGAGGAGGAGGAGGAAGAGGAGGGGGAAGAGGAGGAGGAGGAGGAGGAGGAGGAAAAGGAGGAGGAAAAGGAGGAGTGAGGAGGACGAGGAGGAGGAGGAGGAGGAGGAGGGGAGAGGAGGAGGAGGAGGAGGAGGAGGAGGAGGAGGAAAACGAGGACGAGGAGGAAGAGGGGGCGCCTAAGCCCTTCGGAGAAACCCTCCATCCCTTTCCCTTCGGTGGAGAGGGGAGCTCGGGGATTGGGGGCGAAATATTGCCTGCGAGCCAAGGAGCCGAGGCCTCCCAAATCGCCGACGCATCGCCGATGCACTGGCGATGTCGGCGGTGCATCAGCGCCGCTGGCGTGGAGGAAATCGGGCTCCACATCGAGCTGCATCGCTGAGACAACGGCGGCGCGGCGCGATGCCCCCGCCTTTCTCGGTCCCCACTTGGGAGGCCTGGACGGATTGGAGCGACGAGTCGGCTGCGAGCGGAAGCGGAAGGGAAGTAATAAAGGGGCCCTAGGACACACGATAAATACACACAAATCCGAGGGCTCCCCCTAGTTTCCAATATTTCATGAGATTTCGTCTTCCCCCCCCGCCACGTCCCATATATTCCCATGCTTTCCCTGGAACCGACGGTTATAATTGTGTCTGTGTTTTTTTTTCCCCCCCCGCGCTGAAGCAACGCGCACATTCCAAATACGCATCTCTGGCCTGACCGCAGGAAAATATATGAGGCGACGCTGCAGGGCAACCGGGCCAACAACCAGATGCATCGTGAGCGACGGGGTCAACTGCACTCACGTAGCAGAAGAATGGATCCTCAACTGCTGGGGGCGACACCCACGGGGAGGGCGGGCGTGTCCCCCTGCAGGGGGATCTTGGACGAACAATAAAGCACAGTCAAACTATGCTCAAACATAGACGAACGATACTGCAACAAACATCGTCCCCGCACTATTACAAGAAACGGCTTCCAGGGTGAGCCATTGTCAACGGGAACGCGTCCCGCGCGGGATCGGGGTTCGCACGGGGGCGCGGCTGCTCTCGCCTGTCCAGGGGGTATGCATTGCCGCGCCCTCCCATTCGCGCGGCGCCGTGCCTCTCAAATCGGAATAAACTTTCGGAACGCCGATGTAGACATACAATACTACAACAAACATCGTCCCCGCACTATTGTTTGACCGTCTTTGAGTACTCCTCCTGAAGAGGGACAGGCCGGACTCAAACCTGCGGAAACGTCCCTTAGGAGGAGGAGGAGGAGCAGGAGGAGGCGGAGGAGGAGGAGGAAAGGGAGGAGGAGGAGCAGGAAGAGGAGGAGGAGGAGGAGGAGAGGGAGGAGGAGGAGGAGGAGAAGGACGAGGACGAGGAGGAGGAGGAGGAGGAGAAGGGAGGAGGAGGAGAAGGAGGAAACTGCCGCGGGCCCGGGGCACGGCAGAGCGAGGCCGCCGAGCACGGCGTGGAGCGGACCGGGGGGGGAGGGCGGGATCGAGCAAGGACCGGCCGCCCCGGAAGTTCCGTAGGCCCGTACCACGAGATGTCCCCAGAGCCCTAAACTCGGCGGTGGACAAACCTCCCTTTCGTGAACCTCCCTGTAGTGAAAACGGCCTGGGACCGAAACCGACGGACCTGGGCCCGCAAAAATGACGGCCGCGACGCCCTCCCGCGAACCGAAAACGGCCAATTCCTCAATCGACGTGTCAGGGTAGGAGGTCTGTCCACCCCCGACGAACATGTTCTAAGAGCAAAACGATGTTCTCGGAGCATAAGCCCGATGTGTGAAACCAGGACGGTCCTACCCAGAAATGCTCTGAGAGCATCTCGCTGGAACCGCAGAGGGGTTCCTAGGACACTCTTTGGTGGGCCTGTGGGCAAGCCAGGACGCTTCGCCACTGCTTGAAGGGGGAGGGAAGGTGACCCGAGATACCCGGCGTCCCGACAAACACCAGAGCGACGGCTTTCCGCCGTGGTCAGCCCCTGCGCAGGCCTTCGAGTTTGGCCCCCTTGGGTCCGACGGAATACGATCAGGGGTGAAATTGGGAGAGGGCGTCGATTTCTGGGGACCCCATGCTGAGACAGCCTGGACACCAGATGCCTGGAAAAGGGAGGGGAAGGAGGGAGGGAAGGATGGGAGAGGAGGCATCAGCCTCCTCCTCCCCCCTCCCTCCTCCCCCTCCTCCTTCCCTCCTTTTCTCGTCGCCCTCCTGCTCCTCCTCCTCCTCCTCCTCCTCCTCCTCCTCCTCCTCCTCCTTGTTCCTGGTTCCTCACGGCATGAATGTCTTCAGACGTTGCCAATTCCCTCAGGGAGGCCCAGTCGGACCCCCCTGGAGGTCCTCCTCCTTCTCCTCGTCCACGTCCTCCTCCTTCTCCTTCTCCTCCTCCTCCTCCTCTTCCCGCTCCTCATCTCCTCCCCTTCGTCAACCTCCCTCCTCCAGGTTCCCTTCTGCAGGTAATATTACGGGGTGGGTAAGAGAGAGGAGGAGAAGGACGAGGACGAGATATGCTCGGATCGGCTGTCCATCTCGGCACAATCGGGCGCTCCTAAGTCCTGCTATGGAGTCTGAACCCCCAAGTCACTGGGCGGTGGACAAACCTCCCTTTAATTATCCACCCTTCAGTGAAAACGGCCTAGGACCGAAACCGACGGACCTTGGCCCGCAAAAATGACGACCGCGCGACCCTCTCGCGAACCGAAAATGTTCAATTCGATAATCGACGTGTCAGGGTAGGAGGTCTGTCAACCGAATCGCCTACCATCGCGCCATCGCGTCCCGCGATGCGCGGCTCTCCTCGCGCCCTCGCGAGGCCTCCTTGAAGCAGAACGTGCCCTTCCGAGCCTAGCCGCAATGCCGCGACGCGTGACTACGTCCTCGCCCCCCAGGGGGCGACCCAGGTCCCCAGGGCGGAGGAGGGGGAGGATGAGGAGGAGGAGGAGGAGGAGAAAAAGGAGGAGGAGGAGGAGAAAAAGGAGGAGGAGGAGAAGGAGGAGGAGGAGGAGAAGGAGGAGGAGGAGGAGACGAAGGAGCAGGAGGAGGAGGAGGAGGAGCAGGAGGAAGGAGGGGAGGAGAAGGAGGAGGAGGAGGAAGAGGAGGAGGAGTGTGCTGCAATCTGCGAGCTGCGAGCTGCATCGCGGGCGTGCCCAGCAGCGTCCCACCTGGGTCCCGGAGATGCCCAGGGGGCGGGCTCGTCCCTCAATGGGGCACACGGAGCCGCCCCCGGGCAGCGCTCCCGGGCGACAGGGAGGAGAACGAGAAAGGAGAGGCAGGAGGTTCCCCTCATCACCATACGGGCTCCTCATCATGATGATGATCATAATGATGATCCTGATCAGACTCATCACCATCATCACCACCACCACCACCATCATCATCATCATCATCATCATCATCATCATCAACACCATCATCACGAGGACCACCAGCATCAACACCACAGCCACCACCACCATAACAATACTAATACTTATAATAATGATAATAGTAGTACTGGCGATAATGATAAGAAACATCCTCATCGTCATCAACAACATCATCATCATCATAACCAAATTAACAATAATACGACTAATACGCTTAATATACGATTCAAAGAATAATAATAATGATGATAAGACAACTCATAATATAATGATACTACGCATCATCATTACCATCACCATCACCATCATCATCATCAGCAGCAGCCGCATCATCAGCATCATCATCAGCATCATCAGCCTCATCAACATCATCAGCATCCTAATCATAAGCATCATCATCATCAACATCACCATCGTCAGCATCAACACCACCACTATCATCCTCATCATCAACAACCACGTCATCAGCATCCGCGTTATCGTCATCAACATCAACATCATCATCATTATCATCGACATCGTCACCATCCTGCTCCTCCTCATCATCTGCATCAACAACATCATCAACATGATCATGATCATTACCATGACAATTCTAACTGTTACCGTCGTCACCATGCTCATCATCATGACTACTGTCATCATCAGCATCACTGACATCATCAGGATGATCATCATCAGCAGCATCGTCAGCAGCGTCCTCCTCCTCATCACCATCATCATCATAATCATAAGCATCACCATCATCATCGCCCTCAACATTGTCCTCATCATTATACTCATACACATCATCCTAATAATCGCTATCGTCGTCATCATCATCTGCATCATGAGTATCATCATCACCACCACCACCAGCAGAACCATCATCACCATCACCACCACCAACACCATCATCACCACCACCATCACCACCACCACCACCACCACCACTCTCATCATCACAACCATCATCAGCATCATCCGCGTCTCCTCCGTCGCCCCCTGCCCCAAGCAGGCGAACTCCCGATCCCAACTTCTCTTCTCCTCCTCAACCTCCTCCTCCTCAACCTCCTCCTCCTTCTCCTAATCGTCATCCTCTTTCCCCCCTCTCCCTCCCCCTCCCCCTCCTCCTCCTCCTCTCCTCCTCCTCCTCCTCCTCCTCCTCCTCCTGCTCCTCACCTCCTCCTCCTGCTCCTCCTCCTCCTCCTGCTCCTCCTCCTCCCCCTTCCTCCTCCTCCTCCACCTCCTCCTCCTCCTCCTCCTCCTCCTACTCCTCCTCCTCCTCCTCCTCGTCCTCGTCCTCCTGATCCTCCTCCTCCTCATCCCCCCCCCTCTGAAGCTGATCGTCATCATCTTTCCCCCTCCTCCTCCTCCTCCTCCTCTCCCTCCCTGCTTCCCCCTCCCCCCTCCCAATCCTCACTCTCCTGCGGCGGCGATGCATGGCCGACGTCTTGCCGATGCACCGCCGCCGCTCCGCCGACGCGCACGGCAGATGCACCAGCGGGGGGTGAAGGCCTGGAGCCTTCTTGCCCGCCAGGCCTGGAGACCCCATGCATTCCACACGGGGTCGGATCGAGCCTAGGGATTTCCCCCCCCCCCCCAAAAAAAAATAGAGGGCAGACAATCCACCCCGATAATAACTACCCCGACACGCGAAACTGTTTCGTGAACCCACCCAAAGAAGAAAACAAACAGGGCATGGCTGCTTAGTAAACGCCCAAGGCCGTTTTCGGGGATCTTCTGACCCGGGTCAATCCAGACCCGGGTCAATCAGGCCTGCAAAATCCTGCAAGATCATGCACCCAAACCCGGGTCAATGCGAAGGATCCTGCAGGATCCTGCAGGATCCTGCACCCAAACCCGGGTCAATGCGACCCTGGCGCTGCAGGATCCTGCAAGATCTGGCACTCTGGTTGACCCCCGTCTGCACTGACCCCCGTCTCGAGGCTCCCGACGTTTAGTAAACGCCAGTTGTCCGGTCTGGGTGGATTTCCTCCCTTGAAACAGGAGGGAATCCGAAAAACTTGATGCGGTGCTTTTCGCAGCCCATGGGGGTCGGGGCCCAGCCTCGGAGGACCAGCAACGTCCTCTGCAGGGCGGAGCCCGGGCCACCCCCCGGTCTGCGAAAAGCACAGCTAGGCAAACCCTTCGGAACTAGAGTAGCGCGCTTCAGCACTCGCGAGGCAATTCCTCGCAAATGGCTGGGCCCCGCCGAAGGGATCTGCAATCCAGCACATCGTAGGCGAGCGTGTGTTTTTTCCTGCGTTTGCGGATAAGCACTCTGCGAGTAGTTGAACGCGCTTGGTAAGGACCCGTCAAAGAATTATTATTGGAAATCTCCAGACCCGAAAACTTCCCAGGACTGGGCCCGAAAACTCCCTCCAGGCGCGAGTCGGGAAAAGATCGGATCGGACCGTCAGCGAAGCGCCACGAATCACATCGAAGTCGGATCACGGCGCTGGGCTCCGGCTGGCCCCGGCCGATGCCGGCGAATCTGGGAAGACCGCACCGCTACTCCCTGGACCTCTCCCAGGGCTGCTTCCGACCAGAATCTCGAGGCGAACGCACCCGCGGGCGGCGAGGGCCTCCCACGTTGCCCACAGAGGCAAGAACGAGGACAGGTAGCGGCACCGGCAACAGCTCATTCCTCCCAGACCCCCGACGTCGTGATTTTTTCATGACGTCGACCCCCAGCTGTTTGGACCCATTCCCCGAGACCGGCTTTTCATCCTGAGTCGTTTTTTGGCAGCCCCGAGGCCCAGTAGGGGCCCCCAGAGGCCGAAAATAGCGAAAAACCTCCCGTCGTGATTTTTTCATGACTCGAGGGGGTCTGGGCTCCGAGGATATCAAGCCGCCCCGAATCGAATCGGAAGCATGGGCCCAGAACGCGCGGATCGGACCGCGCGGGATCGGATCGCGGGCAGCCCCGGCCCGGGGTCCTCCGACGTGGCGAGGACCACCTGCCCAGGTATCCGCCTGGGCCCGCGGGCGGAGCATGGACCGATCGTCTTGGCATTCCTAGAACCCAGACCCCCTCGAGTCATGAAAAAATCACGGCGGGAGGTTTTTCGTTATTTTCAGCCTCTGGGGGCCCCTACCGGGCCTCGGGGCTGTCAAAAAACGACTCAGGATGAAAAACCGGTCTCGGGGAATGGGTCCAAACCGCTGGGGGTCGACGTCATGAAAATTATCCCGGCAAAGCAACCTAACAGCGATGTGTAGGAGCATATCTGGAAGCATTCCCCTTAAGATTCAGATGAGAATCCAGTTGTAGAATTCTGCTGTTCTCGCAGTCGTAGTCGCATTCGCGATGACAGTCGCAGTGGCAACGGCAGTCGCAGTCACAGCCTCGGCCTCAGCCTGCCTCAGCCTCAGCCTCAGCCTGCCTCAGCCTCAGCCTGCCTCAGCCTCAGCCTCAGCCTGCTTCAGCCTCAGCCTCAGTCTGCCTTCAACCTCGGCCTCAGCCTGCCTCAGCCTCAGCCTGCATCAGCCTCAGCCTCAGCCTCAGCCTGCCTCAGCCACAGCCTCAGCCTCAGCCTCAGCCTCAGCCTGCTTCAGCCTCAGCCTCAGTCTGCCTTCAGCCTCGGCCTCAGCCTCAGCCTGCCTCAGCCTCAGCCTGCATCAGCCTCAGCCTCAGCCTCAGCCTGCCTCAGCATCAGCCTGCAGCCTCAGCCTGCCTCTGCCTCAGCCTCAGCCTGCTTCAGCCTCAGCCTCAGTCTGCCTTCAGCCTCGGCCTCAGCCTCAGCCTGCCTCAGCCTCAGCCTGCATCAGCCTCAGCCTCAGCCTCAGCCTGCCTCAGCATCAGCCTGCTTCAGCCTCAGCCTCAGCCTGCCTCAGCCTCAGCCTCAGCCAGCCTGCTTCAGCCTCAGCCTCAGTCTGCCTTCAGCCTCGGCCTCAGCCTCAGCCTGCCTCAGCCTCAGCCTGCATCAGCCTCAGCCTCAGCCTCAGCCTGCCTCAGCATCAGCCTGCTTCAGCCTCAGCCTCAGCCTGCCTCAGCCTCAGCCTCAGCTGCTTCAGCCTCAGCCTCAGTCTGCCTTCAGCCTCGGCCTCAGCCTCAGCCTGCCTCAGCCTCAGCCTGCATCAGCCTCAGCCTCAGCCTCAGCCTCAGCCTCAGCCTGCCTCAGCCTCAGCCTCAGCCTGCCTCAGCCTCAGCCTGCCTCAGCCTCAGCCTCAGCCTGCTTCAGCCTCAGCCTCAGTCTGCCTTCAGCCTCGGCCTCAGCCTCAGCCTGCCTCAGCCTCAGCCTGCATCAGCCTCAGCCTCAGCCTCAGCCTGCCTCAGCATCAGCCTGCCTCAGCCTCAGCCTCAGCCTGCCTCAGCCTCAGCCTCAGCCTGCTTCAGCCTCAGCCTCAGTCTGCCTTCAGCCTCGGCCTCAGCCTCAGCCTGCCTCAGCCTCAGCCTGCATCAGCCTCAGCCTCAGCCTCAGCCTGCCTCAGCATCAGCCTGCCTCAGCCTCAGCCTCAGCCTGCCTCAGCCTCAGCCTCAGCCTGCTTCAGCCTCAGCCTCAGTCTGCCTTCAGCCTCGGCCTCAGCCTCAGCCTGCCTCAGCCTCAGCCTGCCTCAGCCTCAGCCTCAGCCTGCCTCAGCATTCAAAATGTGGCCCGGGAGTGGAATTCTGGGAAGTCGAAGAGCACGAAGTGGCCTACAATTAACTCCGGGCATTCAAAATCATGCCCAAGAATGGAGTTCTGGGAACTCGAAGACCACGAAGTGGCCTACAGTTGGCTCCGGGCATTCAAAATCATGCCCAGGAATGAAATTCTGGGAACTCGGAGACCACGAAGTGGCCTACAATTGGCTCCGGGCATTCAAAATCATACACAGGAATGGAGTTCTGGGAACTCGAAGACCACGAAATGGCCTACAACTAGCTCCGGGCATTCAAAATGTGGCCCGGGAATAGTGTTCTGGGAAATCCAAAAACACGAAGTGGCCTACAGTTGGCTCCGGGCATCCAAAATGTGGCCCAGGAATGGAGTTCTGGGAATTCGAAGAGCACGAAGTGGCCTACAATTAACTCCGGGCATTCAAAATCATGCCCAGGAATGGAGTTCTGGGAAGTCGAAGAGCACGAAGTGGCCTACAGTTGGCTCCGGGCATTCAAAATGTGGCCCCGGAGTGGAGGTCTTGGAAGTCGAAGAGCACGAAGTGTGTGACTGTGGCTGAAAGCGAGCCCGGCCCTGAACCCGGCCCTCGCTGTCCGGATGCCGCCCAGACCTCCCTTCTGAGTCATCAGATGCTCTCTTTTGACACCATTAGAAACCTATCAGTCTTCGCTGTTAGGTAAAATCACAACGTCGGGGGTCTGGGAACCGATCTCGGTCTCCAGCCCCCCGGGTTATGGGAACCTGTGTGTTTTGGCGCGGACTCACTGACGGATTGGGACCTCAGCAGCGCTTGGGACATCAGTGTTTTTCCGCGGTGGCCACCGCTGATGGCCGGGGGGGCGAGGATTCATGGTGGTGATGATGAGGATGAGGATGAGGGAGAGATAGTTGTAGCTGGTGAGATGGTGATGATGCTGGTGGTGATGATGATGGTGGTGATGGTGATTTCCCTCGAGGCCAGGACCAGACTGGAGGCCGCACAGGTCTGAAGGACAATTCTGGCCAGTCGCAAAGATCCCGGGTTCTCGAGATGCCCCGCGCAGGGCCACGTCTGGAAGGCGCTGGCGCAAGGGGGCTGCGCCGCGCTGCCTCGGACTGTGGGTGAAGATAACCACCCGCGCAAGAATGCGGAGGCCTCATCCTCAGCGGCTGTGTCATTATAGTACTCATCGATCGGGGCCTCCTCGAATTGACTAGAAGTTGCCCACGCTCTGCGTTGGCAGAGCCTGAGGCGCGGGCGCGGGGGCCGATGGGGGCGCGCGCGACACTGCTGCTGGCGGGGAAAGGCGCGCCACGAACGAAATTGACTGCTCTCGCTGCTCTAGCATCGGAGCCAGTAAGCCATCTCCTCCTCGAGCCGCCCCGCTGGGGCCACTCCGCGGCGGCGGGTCGACTTTCCCTCCGACGCCAGCGCCCGCTGGACGAGCGAGCGGTCTTGCCAAGATGGGGCCCCGATCGCGAGCTTCGTCGTCTCTGTCTCGAAGCATCTCTCGACCCCGATGAGACGGACGGCGAGCTGCAAGTCGCCGCCGCAGGCGCTCCGCCCTCTGGCCTGGATGCGCTCCCAAGCGCTCCTGCGCCCCGCGGGGAGGGCGGGGGTGCGCGCCAGCCCGCTCGCGGGCGCGGCGGCAGCGCCCCCCCCCGAATCCGCCGCTGCCTGGCCCGCCATGGTCTGGAGGGGGGCGAGGCGGCAAGGTAGGCGTCGCCCTTGCGCACGTTGTCCTCAGGACTGCTGACGATGCCGATGGCGTCAATGATGTTGCTGCTGCTGGCTACGGTAGTTCGCGGTGTACGCGGCAGCGTTGTAACCTGAGAGCCACTGGCGAGGTCTGCTGATCTCCGACGCGCTGCCCAAGCGCCAGGCGCGCCCTCAATCCGCCGAGGCCGTCGGACAAGCTAGTGGCGAGGATCGAGCGGCGGCGGAGGCGGCGCGGTGCTTGACCGCGTCGGGCGCGCCTCGGCCCTGAGAACAGGCTTGGGCAGCAAACCCGATGGCGACGGTGAGATGCGCAAGTGTGAGAGCTCGAAGTCTGCGCAGGTCATGGCGTTCATTATTGTTATGCGTAGTCAAGATCATATTCACGTAGTGGGCACGTGGTGCATGTAGCTGGTTCCCATTGGTATGAATGATGAGTAAGTTCTGGCTTGCGCGCGCCTGCGTGCCATGATCATCGCATGCGTCGCATGCGCGAGTGCATTTTGACGGGCTTCGCAGCCTTTTCCCAGCTGGAGCGCCGTTAGCAACGATGGCAGTCCACGCCCCGTCGCCCTCGACGCGGTTGGATCTGTCACCGGCTGCCGTATAGCCCCAAAACGTTTCCCACGAGGCCGGACGTTGCGCGCGAGCGGCCAATGCACGTCGCCGTCGCTATCGGCCCCGTCGATGGGGCTCTTCTGAGGGGGGGGAGTGGGCGAGCGAACTGGATCCTGGATGGGGCCCCCGGCCCGCTGATACATCCAGAAGGTGGGCCAAAGAGCGCGCGCGTCACAACGCAGGAAAGAGTCTCGCACGCATTCGTCCCCCGGCGGATTTCGGATGACGGGCGGCTGCTATGTCTCCTGGGAATTCTCGCCGATGGGGCGCGGAGTCAGGCGCGAATGATCGTCCGCGCGCAGCTTGGCCCACGGGCGCGCCTTCGATTCGACCGAGAGAGCGCCCTGCGAGTTGACGGTGGCTGCGCTGACTGGGCGGCTGGCTGCTCGCGGCCGCCCGCTGCTCGAGCCCGCGCCGCCCGGAAAAAGGTAGCGAGAAAATGGCGCATTGATAGGCGGGCGCGCTCGCGTTGCTCTGCCACCAACTCAACCGGTGCACGAACAATTTCTGTTGCCGAAAGTGCAATCTGCCACTCTTGAAACACATGAAAAAAAGGTAGCGAGGGAATGATGAGCGTTCTGGCCGTAGGCCTGGCGCGCGGCCCTCCTCATCATTGCTCGGAGCTCTCGTGCGATGGAGCTGTCTAGACGGCGATGGCCCCGCGGGCTCACCGCGTAGCTTTCCAGCCCTGACCAGATGGGGCCCGCGACGTTGGAGAGGAAGAATAGACGCTTGGCCCTTCGGGCCCCCCCCCCGAGAACCAGTGGGCGCCACTGCGAACCCCTCCGGCTTTCCCAGACTGGATTTGAGCTTCAATTTCACGCGATCGCGATTGGCCGCGTGAACATACCACCCAGAATGCATTTTCATCCTGAACCGCGCCCCCAGATATGCTGCGCTCCCCCACCACTGTGGCCCCGCGGGCCCCCGGAGATACCGGCGCGCCCTGCTCGCCCACGTCCGGGGCGCAGCCGCCGAGGTCCAGGGCCTGAGCAAGTCGTTGTCGACGGCACTAACTGCAGCGCCTGGAAAGACCGAGCTGTCGGGCACCAAGATTA